GATTTCTGTCTGCTCTCAGGCTCTTCTTTTTGTTTTTGTGAAAGAAGCGGCATATGATAGGGCAGTTCCTTATGCTTTTTCTTTCTTTTGTGCTTTTTAGTTTTCTGTTTTTGCGGGCGAAGCCGCAACGGGTCATCTAGTATTATTGATTATTAATGAAAACTCTCTCTCTCTCTCTCTCTCTCTCTCTCTCTCTCTCTCTCTCTCTCTCTCTCTCTCTCTCTCTCTCTCTCTTTTCATTGCTTCTTCTCCTTTGTCTATTTTCTGGTGACGTGCCGCTTGTGCTGGGACGATTTTGAATGATTCTGGACTTGTTGTCCTGCTGTGAGTAGTTCCATTTGAGTGTGTTCGAATGGGACTCACATTATCTATTGTGAAAGCTTCTCATACTGGACGGGCTCATGACAGAAGCGGGAGAGAGAGGAGGTTGAGTGATCCCCTGTTGAGAGGTTGATTTCCTGTCCACATTCCAGGGAGGCTTGCTGATGAAGCAGCACCCGAGACAATTGTTCCTTCCAGGAGTAGGAGACGCAGAGCAGAAACTACTGGACAAGATTCTGCGAGGCTCAAGGCCTCGATAAGCCCTACTGGGCCCTCTTTTCAGTACAGTCGGCTGCCCTAAGTGAAGGCAGGCCCGACCAAGGCCTATTTTGGGGTCTCCACGCTACTGGGGAAATTCAGGCAGTTGCGCAGTGCCAGTTGGTTGAAAGCGCCCAGGCCCTGGCTACCTTTATCAAATGCATCCGCGTCAGGCCCTGGGCGAAATACGCAACAAGGACCCACACACAGGCTGCGGGCAGTTGGGCACGGGTGACTGCCACAGGCCCTGGGCCTGATTCGTTCAGACTGGGGCTCAGCCTCCCGGGGCCTACCGGAAGCTTCTGGGCCGGGGCCCGGTGTAGCCAGGTCGCACATAGCAGGCAGGCCACTTCCATGTAGGAAAGTGCCTGCCCCCGCATTCCTCATTCGGGCACTGGCTGCATGCTGCGCTATACGCTGGCCAGCGCTCACGCGCTCACGGGCGAGCTGGATGAGCAGGCAGCCATAGCCGAGCTGCGCTGCTGTATGCTGGATAAGGCGCATGGTGGTCCTTGGGTGCACGTGGCATCTGTGAGTGGGGGATCGAGGTTGTGAGTGATACGAGAGACATACCTGGTGCTTGAGGCAAATGGCATTGGCCAAGATCTGCTCGTACTTCGGGGAGCGGTTGACGTCACCAGCGGCAATGTAGATAGGCTAGATAGGATCTGCCACTTGTAGTCTGGGCGCAGGGCGCCAGATAGGATGTTCGTCATTGGTTCATTGTTGATGATGATGAGACTATTCCAACATTCTCACTTGAGCTTTTGCTGTGCTCTTATTTGGTGGAACTCGTGTTGCATTTATGCTTTTGGTTCGAGGTCACAACTATCTGGTCTCATGTGTATGATGCTGCTTGATTTCTGAAGTTCGCTATCGCTCATTTTCCTTGCAATTCTTTCTTCTTTTCTTTTTTTTGGGTAAGTTTCAAACATAGCACCGTTCGCGGTAGTTTCACAGCAAAAATAGTGGCGGGGCCCAAGGTCCGTTGCAAAAATACATCTTTCGTTGCAGCTTTACAGGTCCTGGTAGTTTCACAGCAAAAATATTTGCGGGCGGGGCCCCACTTTCGTCGCAAACATACATCTTTCGGACCCCGACAACATTTCCACTGGGGAACTTCAAAAACAAGCTATTTCTGCACTTACCCCTTCTTTATTTTGAATGAGATGAATACTGACTGTCAAAGAGAAAAAGTCATGGTCAACAGAGTAAGGTCCATGTCTGTCGACGGACCTTTCTTTTTCCGATACCGCTATCCTCCGATGGGTAATGAACTGCTCTCCTTGAGGACATTAGACCTGGTGGTCCATTCTTCTGGTAGTCCTCCAGATTGGATCGTTGAATAATCATAGTTCCACCCACCACTTTATTTTCTTCCAATCATTACTTATCTCTGGTGCGTATCTATGGTGCGAGCTGAGACAGTTGCCGTGTCTTAGTGAGGGTTCAGAATGCCAGGTTGCCTGCCATGTGCCCTGGGCGCCCAGGCTACCGATGGCGTCCCTGGTGACCTGGTCGGGACAGTGTCTGGAGACGGTCCTGGCCAGCCCCAGCACAAAATCGGAAAAAAAGGAAAAAGAAAAACAGAAAAACCTGGAAGGAGTTCCAAAAAACATCACTGTAGAATTATAGAACTGAAATACAAACAACCTTCGTCTGAAGTTCACCTCAGAATCCCTTATAGAATTCAAGATAAAATAAACAATGAAAAAAAAAGGCAAAAAACAGATTACAGAGACCCCTCTCAACCCTTTTGACCCCCTTTTTAACCCCATGTACTCCCCCAAACCCCACCCATGTGAGCCATGACCAAATTCAAAGATAAGGACAGATTCTGACTGCTCAGGTGAAGTCCAATGATAGAATTAAAATACAAACAACCTTTCGCTGAAGGTCACCTTAGAATCCCTTACTTATGCAAGGAATATGAGCGAGAGTGATATACAGAAAACCAAGTTGCAAGAATCACGCAAAGTCCAGATAGTCATGTAACCAGCAGAGAGCTCAAATGCACCAAGATTCCATCCAAATAAGAGCAATACAATGAACTCCCGAGCCAATGTTCAAGCCCTCGGCCACACCAACGCAGTATTCAATGTTGCTCCTCTCTGTCTGGCGCCCAGCACCCAGCCTACTCCACCCGTCTTACCTATCCTACCTACGTTCATGCAACAGGCTCACTTCGACTTTGAAAACCAATGTACATGTCGTCAACACCAATGCCGACCTCCCACATACACCAGGTACGTACTCTCGTCTCCCTCATCACCCCCTGTCCACCCACTTCTGCGCCGCCTCCTGAATACCACGATCACCCTCCTCTGCCCTCGCACCCTGCAACCCCAGCTATGGCCGCAAGGCCCCCGCTGCCCTGCAGCCCCAGCTATGGCCGCTAGCCCCCCGCTGCCCTGCAGCGCTCCTCACCTCTCAGCGCCCGTGCGAGCCCCAGCCAGCAGATGCACAGTGCAGACACTTGCTTGCGAGCGCAGCAGCGTGTCCGCATTGCCTGTCTAGGCCAGAATGCCCTTCCCTGGCTGCCTTGCTTCCTATATGGAAGTGGCAGCTGCTGCTGGACTCCCTGGGCCTGGCCGTGGAAGTTTCCAGTAGCTTCTGGTCGGGCCCCAGTGTCTGCGCCCAGGCCCATCTCGACAGTTGAAGGCCTGCGCCCTTTTCAGTTGGGCACACCCAGCATTTTCCAGGCTCTGAATGTTTGTTGATACAACGACAATGCTGCTTTCTCGTTGGCCCGTGGCCACTTCGTGATGTGTTGGCCTCACAATGTGTGTGTCCAGGGCACAACCACCCGGGCCCTGGGCTCAACTGCCTGGCGCAGTTGCTTCTTCTGGAAGAGCCCAGGGTAAGGCTCAGGTTGCACTTCAACCAACTGTCGTGCAGCAACTGTCTGAGACCCGCATTGGAAAAATGCTGAGATAAGGGCCTCTCGTGAATATTCAGGCCGGCCTTCACATAGGGCGGGCATGAGGCTTGCTGGGGGGCCACATTCAACAACATATGCATGTTGCCTACGGCCCCCTGAGGACAGATTCCTCACATTTAATTCAAAACAAGATAAAATAAACAATAAATAAAAACTAGCAAAAAATACATTACGCTGACCCCTCTCAACCCTTTTGAACCCCTTTTAACCCCATGTACTCCCCCAAACCCCACCAATGTGAGACATGACGAATTCAAAGATAAGGACAGACTGTGACTGCACAGGTGAAGTCCATGCCCCGGCCCAGCTGCCCAGCAGGGCATGCCCCACCCTGCAACCAAGGCAACCTAGACCCATCCACAAAGCATCAGGTCTACAACTAACCGAATACATGTAGGATCTCGTTTTAACCATATAATATAACAAGTGGTGTAAAGCAACTTGAGAACAGCATGAAAACACGAGGACGGTAACAAGGTACTAACAACAATTAAAATTGAAATGGCGTACCAATCGGAGCTCCGATTCTGCAATAGATGCCTTCAGAGTTGCGTCTTCGCCAGCTTTTTTCATGTGGTGTTGAACAGCAAGCTTTCGATAGTTCCATGCACTATACACCTCTGGATTAATCTCAAGCAACCGAGCACTCTTCTCCATTGCTTCAGCTTCATATCTGTCCATACATGAATGTATGTATAGCCATGTAACAAAACAGCTAAAGTACCATCCCAACAAGCACATGCAGGCAGAAGGAAAAGGACTGCAGAAAAGAATAAAAGAGAAAGAAGTGCAAGGCACCAATGCTAAAAACAAACCGAAGGCAACAATTACAAATCAGAGGCTCAGAGATGCCAACTCTTCCATCCATTGCAAAAGAGTTTCAAAAGGAGATCAGATCAACAAGAAAGAACGAACTCCACACACACGGCGAAACCTCATTACAATGCCAAGAATCTTTACGATATCCAATCTTCAATTACACAGCCTCTCTCTCTCTCTCTCTCTCTCTCTCTCTCTCTCTCTCTCTCTCTCTCTCTCTCTCTCTCTCTCTCTCTCTCTCTCTCT